TGCTCACACTTTAGTTTTTATTAATCTCCATCCTTGGTAACACTCTCTCATCACTATATTTCATACCTAACAAATCTTTCGCTTTATTTTATGTGTTAATTGTTCATAACGGTGTTACCTCACAGTGGAGAGAGGTAATTATATCAAATGGCAGGCTTTAGTTGACTTCGGGCTCTTCAGAGGGAGGGAACATCAAATTCGTAAAAAGTTGAGAGGGGAGGGGACAGAGGAGTGATTCACAGATGTAAGGTTGGTATTGTGGAAGTGCTGGAATATTATATAGTGTTGGGTCATGGTAGTTTGAAGTCAGAAATCAACTACCGGTTTACAGACCTTTTTTGTCCCATGAACATACTTTGCCGAGGGTGCACCACGTGGAGGTACGTCTATCGAGCGCCCCCCCCCCTCAGAGAGAGGGATAAACGTAACGGTATTCATCTTGTCCCAAATTAATTTTGAGTGTGGTATACTGTAATTGTCCCTTCTAACTCAGTCGGAGAAATGAGTGCTGAAATTGTTTATAGAATTATTAGGCGCCAAAGTGACTCCAGGTACTAGTACTCAATAACGGTAGACTTTTAAAATAGTTGGGCACGACAATAACCCTGCAGTTTCGTTTATTTTAACGAATGTGCAGATTTTGCAGATAATTGGCAATGAACTCTTTATTACATATTTTTGATGAAACACTGATTTTCCCAATAGCGTATCATCATATCTCATACATGTACATATATACGTAGTTTTACTTCTAGGTTCTTGCTTCTCACACGCTAGTGTTAGTAGTTTTACTCTCATAGTTTGATTAAAATCGGTCATTTAGCCAACCTTGCCTTACCACAATTTTTATTTATTTATGGAGGCAGTTCTTCCCTCCTCCCTTTCTCATTTCTAAGGCAAACTCGTGTTGAAATGATTTGGACGATGTAGGGGGTGGGGTGGGGGTTTTATACAGTCTTTGAGCGGATAAAGATTTATTTATATCAAATGGCAGGCGTTTTGATTGTTATCATTAACCCTTTAGTTGACTTCAGGCTTCACAGAGAGGAAGGAACATCGAAGAGAAAAAAGTCGAGAGGGGGGGGGGAGGGAAGAGAAGAGTGTTTGAAAGATGTAAAAGTGACAGACACGGAGGTGGGCGGATATGGCATAGAGTGGGGTCATTGTAATTTGAAGTCAGAAGTCAACTGCCGGTTAATAGGCTTTTTTGCCGTATGAGAATACGTTGCCCAAGATGCATCACATGGAGGTAAGTTTAATAATACGTTGCCCAAGATGCATCACATGGAGGTAAGTCTATCGCGCACCCCTTGAGCGGATAAAGAAGTTTCTAAGGTGGTAGAGGTGTTGCCGCAGTGGAAAACCTTGTTTAAGTTTGCTGCTTTAGATGTGGTTAAACAGATAGGTTTTGTGTTATGATTCCTTTCAATCTATGCGAAAAAAAATCCATTTGTGGCAGGCAGTTGATTATGTCAGAAGTGACCTTTTTGGGTACTGTTGGCTGTCCTAATTGTACCATGTTTCTGTCTACGAATACACTTGATTCTAACTTTGTGTTTAGAGCTTCCCTAGGACATCGCAAATTGCAAGGTGACAGACCTTACATTGCACGTAAAAGTCTCCTTAGGACACATGGTAGTCCTGTCACGAGGCTTGAGGTCATTCCAGTGAATTCCAGGCAACTTCAAGTTTGTGCGCCAGTGACTTATCCCTATTGCCCACTAAAGCGTTTTCTCCTCTCAAAGATGAAAATGTTCAAAGGACAGGAACTTTTTCGTTGCGGCAAATTCATTTCTTGCTTAAGCTTTTACGTTACCAACAATGTAAAATTGGCAGGCTGTTACCATTGTTTGTTCTCATTAAATTGAAGATAGGCAAAGTTTGCTTGATCTTATGGTCTATTTATATAACTACTCGCGATTCCAGTGACATGAAATGGACAGGAATCCTACTATTTTCAGTGCCTGTCTTACCAGAATATCGCTTGTACTACCCATATTGCTTATAATCACCTCTCTCGTTTCACATTATAGTGCTACTCTCCGTTTTATCACTTCAAGTAATATGTTCAATTTTACATTCTTTGGCCTTTTTTGCCGACAGATCAAGCCAAGAAGACGAAGACGAATGCGAAGAGAGTGAACCACGTCGAAAGCATCATAGAGAGGTAGCGCAGGAGGAGGAAAACTCCCAAGATGAGGAAGAAGACACAACAGTTGCTGGTACCAACTCCCAAATCGATGAGGAGCCAACAACTAGCTCTTGCAGGAAAGGCAGGAAGACTGCGGTGGGTTCGCGGCGAAAGTCTAGCACTGCTACTGTCCCTGCCGATACAAAGACCCCACCAAATGATGGTGATAATTGGCGTGGAGTAGACGCACGTTTTCGCTCTTATCTCGGTGAAGTCGTTATGATTGATATGCCAATCACATCGAAAAGTAAGCCTAGCTGTGATCATTTTGCTGTTTGTTTCGCATACTATTAAGTCGAGCAATATGGTGTTCTTATTATAACCACTCTAGTAACTGGAAGATTTATTTATATCAAACGGCAGGCGTTTTGATGGTTATCATTAGCCCTTTAGTTGACTTCGGGCTTCACAGAGGGGAAGAAACATCAAAGTGAAAGAAAAGCGAGAGGGGGTGGGGAGGGAACAGAAGAGTGTTTCAAAAACGAAGGTAGAAATGCAGAAAAGAGGTGAGGTGAGTACTGTGAAGTAGCCGAATATGACATACATTGGGATCATGGCAGTTTGAAGTCAGAAGTCAACTGCCGGTTAGTAGGCTTTTTCGCCGTATGAGTATACGTTGCCCAGGGTGCACCACGTGGAGGTAAGTCTATCGCACACCCCAGTAACTGGAAGATAATTTAATCTTTTCTAGACTTAATCCATTAACGGTTCATTGGCTGTTGTTTGTCATCTTCAAATTTGTGTGGATTTTGAGGTATTCGCAAGTGACGATTAAAGCAGAAAAAGAACCCACAAAATTGCATTCTACCTCCTCTCCTCAATAGAGTGAACAAAAATATGTTCAACAACCTTAGGCCTCTCCCTCTTTGCTAAAAGTTTTTATTTCTTATCTAAAGGTCTCCCTGATACCACTTTACTACTCGCTTGAATGAAGTTTTTAACTATCTTACTACGGCCTATAAGTACTTATGGTGG